TAATAGGACTTGAGTACCCAAGAGTACTTGTATGTAATAGGACTTGAGTACCCAAGAGTACTTGTATGTAATAGGATTTGAGGACTCAAGAGTACCTGTATATAATAGGACATGAGGACCCAAGGGAACCTCGATGGGATAGGACTCGAGTTGACTTCTGCGTGAACACGATTTTTCAGTCACGGTCACGTTCATAGTCACGGAGATTTTTCGAAACTAGTCACGGTCACGTCACAGCCACGGAAATTTTGGATTACTAGCTGGATTTTTATGCTGCAAGATCAAGATTTAAAATGATTTCTTAGATTTCCCCTGTAATAAAACAAAGTAAACCCGTAAATCAATTAAAATCTTGATTTTTTTTCACACGTATCAAACTTTTAATATCAAAATTTTTCACTCTTAAGTCACGATCTCAGTCACAGCAATTTTTCGAAAACTCGTCACGGTCACGAAACATCGTGACCGAGATCGTGACCATTTTGCAGAAGTCTGGACTTGAGCACCTAATGGTACCTTCATATAATAGGACTTGAGGACTCAGGCTACCTTCATATAGTAGGAGATGAGGACCTAAGGATACTTCCATATTATAGGACTTGAAAATCCAAGACTCTTCCCCAGATAGGCATATGAGAACCCAAGTACCTTCCCTAGGATATCAAGTCAATTCCAATTGTTGTTTCACTCGGTTATTCTACTATAGTTTGTCAGATTAGAGTTCCTACCAGAGATGAGCGAGCCGCGGTTTCACACCGCACCGCCCCGCCCCGTCCCGCCCCGCCGGCGGGGCGGTGCAGAAACTTGACGGGGCGGGGCGGTGACGGTGCGTCGCAAGATCTTGCGGTTTCCCCGCCCCTTGGCAATATTGAGTTTTTTTTAACATTTTTCTTAAATGTTTATTTTTTTTCTATTTCGAAATTTAATCTTTATATATAGGGTGGCCTATAAATAATAGCATAACGACAAGAAGTTTAAATATTTCTACTTCTGGTCATTCAAAAGGATTCAATTTTTTTCATTCGGATAATGTAAATAAATCCAACTGTTAAGTGTTTCAATTGACGTCAACAGAGCAACTTTACTAGTTGTCAAGTAAAAAAATACATATGAAATATTGTGTAGATGACTCTTAGTTGTCGTTTGACAGAATGACTTGAAAAAATTCAAATAAATCTGCTGAATGATACTATATGTATGACATTGAGAGAAATTTCTCAACCAGTCAATTTGAAAGTTAGCAATTACAATGTTTCGAAGTCTCAGACGTGGAACACTGATTTTTGTTGAAAACTTGCCAACTGGGTAACTAAAGGCTTTCAGATACGCGTTTTAGTTATCAAGCACTAGTTCCAGTATTCAAAGTAGCTAGTCCAGAAAGTTTTCTATATGTACATTAATGTAGTATCGTTTAGAAGATTGTTTGAATTTTTTCAAGTCATTCTGTCAAATGATAACTAAAAATCATCTACACAATATTTCATATGTAGTTTTTTTACTCGATAACTAGTGAAGTTGCTTTGTTGACGTCAACTGAAATACATAACAGTTTGATTTACTTACATTATTCAAACGGAAAAAAATTGAGGAGAATTCTATTACCAACCAAAAAATGAGCCCATTCGCATGAACAGAAGTAGAGCCATTTAAATTTCTTATTGTCATGTCATTATATGTAAGTCACCCTGTATTTAAATTATGCCTTTTTATCTCAGGAAATATAATAGTAATTATGAAAAGTTACTAAAAATTTCATGAATAAATGACTTCTGACGACAGACTTTAGACAGGGCGGGGCGGGGCGGTGACGGTTTTATTGTTGAATAGGCGGGACGGTGACGGTGCGAAACTTTATTAACGGGACGGGACGGGGCGGTGGCGATGTGACTTTTTGGCTGGCTCGCTCATCTCTGGTTCCTACCAGTATAGTGTCTATTAGTTATACATTGTTTCATCGAATAATTTCGATGAAGAAAACAATTAAACGTCAATGTGAATTTAAATCGAAGACTTTATTAAGATTTCAACGTTAACAATTCAGTTTTTGTTTTTTTTCCATTTTTCGAAGAAAATGAAGTTCTATAAAAATTGAGAAATTGTTAAAAAAAGTTCTAATTAATGTAGATGTCACTAATGTTAAGATGATATTATTTATATAATCTATTCTTATATAAATAAACAAAAAATAACAATAGTAATCAGTGAAATAAATCGGAAATTTTTTTTTTGTTTATGCTGATAAAAGATTAGTTATTAAAACAACCAATGAGAATGTATTATGAATAAAGCAAACCAGCTGTTTTGTTGTTCTCGTTCTCATTGAGAGTTGAAAAAAAATATTGAATATGATTGTTCCTATTTTAGTTCGTCGTTTAATAAAACATAAAAATTATAATATAGATTTGATTTTTCGCAGAATGGCTTCAAATCAATCTTCAAAATATTTAATATCAAATTCAATTTATAAACCTTTTTTTACGGATTTGGGGTTAGAAGAAGAAAATTTAGGTGTTTTCGATGGAAAATGGTTTGCAAATGGAGAAGTTCGTCTTTTTTCTTATTTTTTCATATAATCGTTAATAAAAAGAAAAAAAATTTGTTAAAGGTAATTGATTCAATAAGTCCATCAACAAACGAACCAATAGCACGTGTTCGTCAAGGTTCTCAAGATGATTATAATAGAATTGTTGAATCATCTGCAAAAGCTTTTCAATATTGGTCAACTATTCCAGCACCTAAAAGAGGTGATATTGTCAGACAAATTGGTGATGAATTAAGAAAAAATCTTCAATCACTTGGAAAATTAGTTCGTCATCTTTTAGTTTTTTTTAAATATTCTTCTTTGAATTAATAAATAATATAAAATAGATTTCAATGGAAATGGGAAAAATTCTTCCTGAAGGTGTTGGAGAAGTTCAAGAATTTATTGATATTTGTGATTATGCTGTTGGACTTTCAAGAATGTTTGAAGGAAAAGTTTTACCTTCAGAACGTAAGTTTAGAAAAAGAAAAAAAATTTTTTTTTAATTTTTAAAAAGAAAAACAAAAGGTCCTGGTCATATATTAATGGAACAATGGAATCCATTAGGAATAATTGGTGTAATAACAGCATTTAATTTTCCTTGTGCTGTTTTTGGATGGAATCAAGCTATTGCTCTTACTTGTGGAAATGTTACACTTTGGTAAGAAGAAATTCATTTAAAAGAAAAAAACTAATCCTAGAAAAAAAAACAATATAGGAAAGGTGCTCCAACAACTCCTTTAACAAGTATAGCAACAACAAAAATAGTTGAACGTGTTTTATCACGTAATGGTTTACCAGGTGGTTTATCATCATTAATATGTGGAGGATCTGATATTGGAATATCAATATGTAAAGATAAACGAATTCCACTTGTTTCATTTACTGGTTCAACTCAAGTTGGAAAACAAGTTGCTTTAACAGTTCAAGAACGTTTTGGTAAAACAATTCTTGAATTAGGTGGAAATAATGCTATTATCGTTATGGATGATGCTGATCTTAATTTGGCTATTCCTGCTGTCTTTTTTGCTGCTGTTGGAACAGCTGGACAAAGATGTACTACGGCAAGACGTCTTGTATACTTTTTTTTTTATTTAAAAAAATTAATCTAATTATTTATTTTTAAATAAGATTGTTCAAGAAGGAATTTATGATGAAGTATTAACTCGTCTTGTTCGTGCATATGAACAAATTGAATCTCGAATAGGTGAACCATTTGAAGAAAATGTTCTTTATGGACCATTACATACAAAGCAATCTGTTCAATTATATGAAAAAGCATTGGAACAAGTTAAAAAAAAATGGAGGAAAAATTCTTTATGGAGATCAAGTTTATAAGCAACGTCAAGGAAATTATGTTCAACCAACAATTGTTACACAACTTAAACATGATTCTCCTATTGTTCATCAAGAAACATTTGCACCTATTCTTTATGTTTTGAAATGCAAAGTAAATATTTACTGTCTTACTTATTTTTATTATTTTATTATTTAAAAGACATTTGAAGACGCTGTTCAATGGAATAATGAAGTTAATCAAGGTTTATCAAGTTCAATATTTACGACTAATCCAGAATATTTATTTAAATGGACTGGTCCCAATGGATCTGATTGTGGAATTGTATTTTAAATTTCAGTTTTTTTTTTCATTTAAAACTTTTTTATTTTAAAAGGTTAATGTTAACATTCCAACAAGTGGAGCTGAAATAGGTGGTGCTTTTGGTGGAGAAAAACATACAGGTGGTGGAAGAGAATCAGGTTCTGATGCATGGAAACAATATATGAGACGATCGACCTGGTATGTTGCCTTGTTTTTTTTTAAATATAATTCTAATAAATAAATTGGTGTTTTTTTTTATTTTAAAATCTCCTAGCACAATAAATTATTCAAAAGAACTTCCATTGGCCCAAGGCATTAAATTTATTTAAAAAGAATTTTTGGCACTAGCTCACTTTAGACATAATCGAGAACAGGAAAGAAAATGCATTTGTTGAAAAGTGTAACCAACGAAAAGAGAGGAATGAAAAAAAATGAAATAAACAATAAAAATTATAGATGGCTGTCATAGATGACAGTGACATACGATGAAAGAAAAAAATGATACTCAATATATCACTGTCATCTATCGTGGTCATCTATAATAATTTCTATCATTTTCTTTTCTTTTTGTTCATTTCATTCTTTTCGTTGGTCAAATTTTTCAACGAATACATTTTCTTTCCTGTTCTCGATTTATGTCTAAAGCGAACTAGTATCGAATTTTTTTGTTTTAACGAGTTTATTTAACAGATTTTTAGTGATAAAAATAAAATTTTTTCCTTTTTTTGGGTTTTTGGTTTTGATTTAAAATAGATAAAAAATAAAATTTTAGATGTTAAAATATCGCTAATAAAAACGTTCAATATAAAATGGAAAATCCTGAAGATTTAGAACATATATTATCATGTCATTGGCCTCATTTATTTGCATCAATAGATCCAACAACACCAATAACATTATCAAAATTATCAACACGTAATTGGTTAATATCATCAACAGGTGGTTTATCATATGTATTAAAAAGTGCATCATCAATATCAACAAATTCACTTGATTTTGAACTTCAATATTTAATTGATTTAAATAGATTTTTATCAAATGAATATCGTGTACCAGTACCAATATCAACAGTAACAGGACAAAATCATGCAAATGGAAGATATTGGTTATATGAATTTATTGATGGAAAAGTTTATGCCGATAATGATACATCACATTTATTTGATGAAAAAGAACTTATTTCATTAGCTAAATTAATATCAAAATATCATCAATTTTTAATGACACATTCACCATCATTAGCAACTAATAAAAGAAGTACAACTAGAGAACATCTTCTTGATGAACTTAAACAAGCTGCTGTAAATAAACAATAAGTTTGTTTTTAATTTTAGTTTTAAAATAAATTTAGGATGGAATTCCTCAATCTTCATTATCAACAACAACGATAACAACATCGCCAACAACAACAAGTGGAATAGATATAGTAAGTCAATATTTTATCGGATGTTATCCATTATTATGTCGATTATTACGTGATTCATTATCTCGTCAACAAAAAACGAATATAATTCGTAGTTATCCAATTCATCGAAATCTTCGTCCAAGTAAAGTTGTTTGGTCACGTGATAATCGTGTTATAGCTCTATTAGATTTTGAAAATGTTAATCATGATACATTATGGCGTGATCTTGCTGTTTGTTTATCAACATTTTGTACATCATCATCACCATCAATAATAACTGATGTTGATAGAATGAGAATTTTTATTGAAGAATATATGAAACAAATGTCTGGAGGTACAGCAAGAGTTTCATCACAAACTGAACAAGAAGTTTTTCAATTAATTGTTGATGAAATTATTTTATGTGCTATTGAAGATTTTACTTTTATTTATTGGCAATATATTCATCAAAGAGATAAATTTCAAGGACTTAAAGCTATGGAATTTTATTATAAAAGAGCTCTTTGGCATGCTGAACATGCACTTAAAAAATAATTTTCTTTTTTTCTTTTGTTAAATAAACTATTTTCTCTTTATATATATTTCAATATTCCATTTTTTCAACATTTCACTTACACTTTTTTTCTCTCTCTCTCAAACAAATATTTTCTTTTCTATTTATCATAATCAACAAAAAAAAACATGTTAGCTTATTTTCATCAAAAAGACGAACAATATTTAATAAAGATCACAAATTGATTTAACAAATAAAAAATAAATTCGAAATTAAATATTGAATTTATTTTATATGTAGAGCTTATTTCGATCTATAACAAATCTTTAACTTCGATTTCTTCTCACTTGAACAATTCTTTATTATCATTAATCACTTTCATATTGACTAAATTATTTATTTATCTACAGATCGATCAATAATTACATATAATCAATTGAGAAATAGATCCAAAATTTTACTTTCATTATCAATTTTTTAAACTTGTTACATATGTATATAAAATAAAAAAGCAAATATTTCCTTGAATAGATATTTCGAGAGTGTGAATGTATCTGTCAAGATGAGAATCATGATCATATCCAGAATATCATTTTTTAATTTTCTCATTTAAAACTAATAAAATCTCGATATTGATTCTTTATTTTTATCATATATTAATACGATATTACATTGAGATGTGTACAATTTCACTTTTTTAAAAAAATAATCATAAATGAGATTTTCTCAAACGAGAATTATAAATAAATATTGGATTTTCGAAAAAAAATAATTAAATATCTCTTCATTCTCCTATGCTCAATGTCGTATATCAATTATAAAATAATTCAATAGAATTTCTAGTCAGATTTGTCTAATGTAATAGGGTACAGAAAATATTGAATCTTATTTTATTCGATAAGATATGAAAATGGTCGAGATTCTGTTTTTGTTAAAAAAATTCATGTAAACTTCTACAATATTTTTCATCGTCTGACCTTTGTTTCCTATCTACTGTAGTATAAACTAATATAGGAACTGTAAACTATTTCTTTTCTATAGTTAATTATAGTTCTCAATTAGATGTCTGTTAAGTCTTTGATACCACCTTTTATTCTCAATCCAATCCGTTTGATCTTGAGGATGTGTGGCTGCGATAGTATTGATGGAATCAACACTGACTACAATAAATTTCTACAAGCACACAAAATTTGCAAGTTTCCTACTTGTACTTGGAATCCTCGTAATATGTCCTATATTCATCAAATGATTCTATATAGTTAATTGACTAATAGGAACTCAATGATTTCTCACTTTTATTTTCATCTAATTTTAATATTTTCTTTTACTTTTCGGGACAGTGTTTTTATTATCAATGTTCGAAAAACTGTATTTTGCAACAACAAACTTGTTATTGGTTTATCTTGATATTCGATAGTCACAATTGAATATGAAGGAATATTCGATGAGATGGATATGAGTGTTAGTACTGGTGAGACTGGATGGATGAAAAGAGTTTATGTTATAGAAAGATATATTGAAAAACTATATGAAAAGTTAACAATAATAACTATAGATATTATTTTCTTAAAAATAACGTCTATACAATTCAATGTTATGTCTCAAGAATTATATATGAAAAATAAAATTGGTTTGGATAAAAATCATCTTCTATTAAATTAAATTATGGAAAGAATATCTTAGAATTTATTAGAATGTTGATTTAAACAATAAAGATTAAATATGGTTGAAGTAAATATACAATTAATAATTCTTCAATTATAGCTTAAAGACTTTCTACGTAACCAAAATCATTATTTACATATATATAGAGAGAAATTTAATGGATAACATGAAAAGAAATTTCAAAGAATGATTAATGGATTAATAGAGCAAACATTAATAATAATATTATCTTTAATAAAACATCTTATCTTTTTATACATTTATCCAAATAATATTTCAATATTTTATCAAGAAGATAACAATTCGTTTCGACTCTATCATCTGTAAACGTTGTTTAACGTATGGCAAATCTAAAAAATTTCCTACTATTTTATGTGATTATCTTTTAAATAGTCAACGATAGATGAAATATTTACATTCTTGTTGAAATGGAAGAAACTACTCATGTCATCAAAATCGTTGATTTTATCGTGTTTCATTAGGACGATTATCGTCAGAGTATATCGCGATTAAACCACTCACAATAGAGATTTTTTTCGATTTCTTCATAATTTCTACAGAATGTCGCTATTATTCAAGCAAATTTTACAATGATCGCATCTACTCCTATTGCTTTAATCTAGACTCCAACTATCTTTCAATGAGACGCAAATAATGTCTTTAACGACGATGATTTGTCATTGTACTCACACAAGTTTCTATTAAATGGCGACAGCGATCATTTTCTCTTTCTCATTTGCCATAAATTATAAAAAAGAAATTCTTTATATAAAAGAATACTTACATTTCATTTAATGTTCATATTGATATGAATACAGGAAAATGAATTTATTTATATAAATAATATTTCTGATTCATGTTGTTCTAGAAGTTAATCGAAATTAATAAGAAACTATTTAAATGAATAACACTTACATCTTATTTTGATGTCGAGATCTATCGAAATAAAAGAAAAAAAAACGTTTATTTTTGATAAATTTATAGTTACTCTTTAACTTTGTTACAAAATCGTCGATTTATCTTAATTATCGAAATAATTATTGATTAATTTCTATTTATTAGAATATTCGAACAATTAATCATCAAAACTGAGTCGATTTTGACGATATCGACACATTAAAGTAATATGACTAACCAAAAAAGTCTTAATTACTTTATCAATTATATGAAAGTTCAAGTTGATAATGATTAAATCTATCAAGAATATATTCAACTTCTATATCGAAATATCTATAAATATAGATTAAAACTATTTTATTAACACTTTTTTCTCATATATTGTTTTATATTGAAGCTGTTTGCTTTTTTTGTTTTGAAAACTTGTCGAAGGATACGTTTTAGTCAAAAACGATATCTCAATCGATATAAAACAAATCAATGTTAAAAATAATACAATTTACATATCATCAGTAGATTTTTTTTCAAGTTTTTCATAGAATATTTAATAATAAAAAACGAGAACTTTTTCATACAAAATTGAAAATCTTCTCATAGATAAGTAACGCTCATCCCATCTATGCATTATGGTAGATATGGATGTCAGTGTCACCGTTGAGATCGACGTGTCTAACAGTCTTGATAAGAATTTGGGTATGCATGCTCATGCGGCTCTGCTCTCCGCTTATTTTACCAATCATACATATACCCACAGATACACTAAAACCCATTCACTACATCAACACTATAACACTTATATACCCACACCTTAACTCCACACACATTGCAAGACCTACATTCACACTCACACCATCTCGCCTAACTTCGCATGAACACTCATGTCTAAGTTCATTGACAAGTACAAAACACTCACACATTACATCTCATCATCAGATCCATACGTAGGAACACCTAAACTTCGCAAGTAAATAGCACCTACATTCACAGCATAATCGAACACTTTCGCCTATGTGCACACCCCATATATAATTAGCAAATCTGTCACCCAGAAAAAATTTATTAGACCGAAACTAGAAATGAAAAACAACTGATAGCCTGAAATTCTAGCTGCACAAATGGATTGATCGAGACCTCTATGATTAAAACATGTAGTTAGCTGAACTGCTACCCTTTAAAACTTCTTTCGAAGAGAGTGAAATAGTGAAAACCTCCCATTGTCTCAGTTTCAAGCCTGAAAAATTCATACATATAAAATTCGTATAGTCGTTACGACTATTCAACTATTCAACCATTGGGGTAGTTGAATAGAATGTGAGTGTGGGTTAGTATGCGTGTAACTCTTCTCTTCGTTACACCCACACTCAGATATCTTATCTCTCGATATGGGTGCCACGAAGATAGTCGTAGAATAGTTGAAAAGTTGTCACGACTTAACAAGCTCTAGACTACTGGAAAAATTTGATTGGAGAAGAGCTACATAACAAACACATCTGATTAATTGAATGTATGACACAGTTCGGTTAAAGTTCTGCTCTGATCAATTTCCATTAGAGAGCTGATCACGACGAGATTAATAAGATACCTATAAATTTTCAAGAGTTATCAAGGAATGATTCCTACAACTGCTCAAAGGCTACCTCCAGGTGGTCTCTGTAAATTTTATGAAGTTATCAACGCGAGGAAAGCAACAGTTACGCTACCAAGTAACTTGTATTGGATCGTTATCAATTACCAGGCAACGAAAAATTCTTGGATTTCATTATTTCGTCAGAGAACAGCTACCGGAGAAAATTCTAGATTTTTTAATAAAATTTCATCAAAGTTCTTCGACGTCGAGAAATCCGATGCTGTAATTGGTCTCTCGAAATTGTACACTGGAGTTTTTGATAAAAGAATGGATTTCCTAAGAAAGTTGAGGTTTTTTAATAAAGTTTCATAAAAGATTGTCAAGGGTGAGAAAACGTGATCAAAAAATGAAGTATACAATTTTGAGAAACTGATCATAGATTCGGATTCGTTGATCGTCAAGTACTTTTGATGAAACTTTATAGAAAGTGCCTACTTTCATTAAAAAGCCTTTCTTTTGTAAAAACAACATGAAAAAACTTTATCTCAAATAGTTATTCAAAACCCTCACAAATATATGTGTACATGTGACTTATTATGTGCAACAAAACTGATTTAATATAGTATGATCCTTCGCTGAATCGAGAGAAAACTCGTGATTTTCTCTCTGCATCCATTTTCTAACAAAAGAATCAAATCCAAGATTTTCCCGTTGGCAGTTATTGTTTGATAACGTCACGATAACTTCTCTCCTCAATTCCGGTGATCAGAATCATTGGAACCACTCGATCGAATAAATCGAATCATAGAATCAACTTGTTTCCTCTTGAAAAAACCTGATTTGAAAAAGGTGCTCTAAATCATGACCAATGCGTATGTGTAGACGTGATTTGGCACATGCCATAAAGCATGT